GTTTCCCATACTAGCTGATGTCCCTTCTGATTGCTTAAGAGTCCATTTTAACTGATAGTACTTGTGCTGCTTCAGTTATTAAATAATTTAAATAATTAAATATTAGTTATTCAAATGAACAATTATTTAATATTAAACTATTATATATTTTATATAGCACACTCCTTATGCCAATCTCTATTTAATTGACTTTGATTAGCTAGAATAATGTTTAGAGAAGCAGTTTGATTCATGGAAGAACTATGATTGATTAGTGATGTCTGCCATGGGGGCGGGGAAGGAAGCAGCAATCGTTTTTTATGATTCAATGCATTGTGGTTTTCCTAATAATGTCCATGATGAAAAGCACTTGCATGAACTTGAAAATGAAGTACTAATAAAATTCTAACAATCTCTGAATATTGAACTCTTCGTAAGTACTAAATACTCATGCTATTTAGAAAGGAGAAAGGTAAACATCAGAAATAATTTTGAATTTTCACATTTTTAATAAGCCTAAGCACTTTAATTTAAAGATTATTCAAAAGGTAAATTATATGAGATAGTAGTAAATTTCTAAAATAAAACTTATATTGAGATGAATGGTACTTCTGATAATGTATTTTGTCAGTAGGAGAACTGCTTGAGTTTACCATTTCTAATTTTGAGGAGAAAATTACTGTTTTAGTCAAAGCAGGCTTTTCAAACATTCTGTACATTCAGAATCTCTCTTAGAGAGGAGCTAGGAGGATTCAGAGTGATTGATTTGGTTGAAAATGTCAAATCTGAAAATTTCCAAAGCATATATCATTTCCTAAGCATGAATAAATTTTGCTACTTCAAGGTAGAAGAGAAAACGTGGCACTGGATTATTCCTCAGTGTGGAGCCCAGGCCACCCCACAGGTGGATGTCCCCAGAGACACTTCTCTGACCTGATTATTTTCTATGATTGTTCTTAGCTGATCACAGGAAATAATTTATTCATTTCTGTCTTCTATTACTTCTGCTTAGGGTGCTTCTCCATTTTTATATAGAACCATAGAAATGTTATAGGTGTGGTGTTTCCTGTGTCCCCACCTGTTCCTGGTAGAAGTGGGGCTCTTGGGATGCCACAAGAATAATAATTTCCTAAGCCTCCCCCCACCACCACCACCACACACACAGGAGGATGAAGTATGGTGGAAAGTTTTATTGATGATGTAATAGTAAGGGTTCATCTCCCTCTGTCTTGCCATGGAAAAAAAGTACCCTTTTGTCTTCAGCAGAGCTAGGATTATAACCACTCTCAAGAGTTTCTGCTCTATATTAAAGTCTAGTCACGTCCAGTGTCTGGCCAGGTGAGCTTGTGTTCCCAGCAGCAGCCCATTGCGTGTGGCATCTGCATAGCCAAGGACCATGCAGCTTCTAGGGCCACTTGGCAGGCTAGTGTGGGTCAAGGAGCAAGGGAGAAACAGGAGCACAAGAGGAACAAGAGAGAGAGAACTCCTTTGGGAATCTTAACTGGGAGCTTAACCAATGAATCCTTCTGGATTTCCTGTGCTTTCATTGACTCCACGCCTTAGCCAATTGTCTTTGTTCCCCAGGCTAGACTACATCACCCCACTTTACTGTACCTGTGTCCATCTCCCCACTTGTTCGGCCCCTTCCCCCAGTGATCTGCAGAGAATGGATCTGTGCTTCTCTGTGGGGAGTGTGAAACTGCAGCTTCCTGGTGAAGCTGCCCAGAGGACTGTGCTTATAATGTCTGGCCTCCCCTTTCCTCACTTCCTATTTTAATATTAACTAGCTAGTTACAATGGTAATAGGAGCACTGACATAGTAGAATCACTTTTTAATATTTTTATTTTTAGTCATGTTTATTTAATTGTCTGATTTATGATTCCTTCTATTTTACCATAGGTAGAAGATAATTTTATTTTATTTTATTTTATTTTTTAGATACATTTTTTAAAATTATTATTTCAGGGAGGAAGGGAGAGGGAGAGAGAGATGGAAACATCAATAAGAGAGAATCATTGACTGGCTGCCTCCTACTGGGGATTGAGCCCGCAACCCAGGCATGTACCCTTAACTGGAATCGAACCCAGGACCTTTCAGTCCACAGGCCAACGCTCTATCCACTGAGCCAAACCGGCTAGGGCAATATTTTAATGTTTAATATTTGTTCTAAAGTGTACCAATCTTCTTCTCTGTTGTCATCTCAATACGTGTTGCGTTGTTGTTGTTTTTTTGACAAGTATAAAATATTTGAATTTTTGTCTGAATTGTTTCTGTTGTTTTATTTGTTCTCAGTTTGAAATTTAACATATTATTTAAAAAAATTTAAAGTGGAAATTTTTTCATATTTTTCTTTGGTAAAAATAAGACAAACATTTAAAACAAAACAGAACTAGTTCCATTTTACTCTGTCTCTCTCAGTACTCTCTCCTATCTGTCAATGAAGTCCACAATAGAACAATGGGTGCACATGGAGTAAATAGTTAAACAGGTAATTAGGTTCCTGCTCATTTGACATTCCCCAAAGAGATTAGTTGGGTGTGACTCCATTCTTAATTTTTGCATGTAAATTAATCATAGTAGTCCAACCAGTTGAGTGAACAATTTTCTAGAGAGACACCATACATACAGTAAGAAGAGGTGCATTGCTACAACTTGAATGTGTGGAAAGAAATGGCTTGACATTTTATCATATCACTGTATATTGATTTGTGTCTAAGAAAAATTCAATGTGCTTTCTTGCAGCTGTGATTTTCAGCTTGCTTGAAGGTAAATAGGAAAGACATTTAGAAAGGACCTGGTTCTTTTGAAAGCAACAAATACATTTTTATTATCACCTGTCAAACCTTCAGAACATTGAGACTTTTGTAATTACTGATTTTTAATGAATAACCGCAAAGTGCATAAGCCAAAATCAACTAATATAATACTATAATATAATAATTCCTGTATTGAGGAATATTTTTGTGAAAAATAACAACCCTATTACTAGTATATTAAAATGCTTTAATGTGTTGACATGTGCTATTTGTAGAAGGTGAGTGGAAAAATTCTTTAATTGAAACTGCCATTGTTGATGCAAGTTATTGCTATTTTCCAATAATTACATATCTTTTACAGAATTTTTATTTTTGTAGCTGCAATACCTTTCTGGTATGTACACAACAAAACAACTCACAGACTGGTCTACATCCTCTCAGACCAGTATGATTTCCCCTCAAACTCTCTCAAATAAGAAAAATATGTTCTTTAATGTAACCAATTGAGTAATAGCCCTGTTTTAAGATTCTCTCAGTGAATCACAAATAATTAGTAGGTAGCTTAAAATTTTGAAGTGGAAACTATGAATTATCTCATTTTTCAATGTGAGTATTAGTATTATGTGATCAGTTATTTAATCAAGTCTTTAAATTCCTAAATCAACAAATATGCATATCATAATGGCATCAGCAAACTCAAAAGTGGTATTAATAAAGCACTGATTTAATCACGTTTTTATTGGAAGAAAATTATAATAAAAATATTCTGACAGAAGTTTGTTTAACAAATTAGGTTTTCTTGGCAAATCCATTTGAAAGTACAGCTTTACTTTTCAGAGATATTTTATAAGGTGTAATCATTTTAATTTAAGACAGATAAGTCAACAGTGTATGCGGGTACCGGGGTGAGAATGGGTACACAATGGACCCATCACTAAGAAAATTTCACTGTACTAGAAAATGAAACATAGATAAGTTTATGGGTCCTGGGGGGTTGTTAAGAGAGACAGAAACTTGGATTCAAATTAGAATTGAGCATCAGAAAGATAAAATTCAGCAGGCAGATAACATTTGAAATGAGTTTTAATGTATGTTGTAAAGTTCTTACAAATGAATATGAATTAATTGCTAAGGAAATACTCTCTATGCCAGAAATACTTCTTCTAACATACTTACCAATCTCTTGGTGGTATTCATATGTTCTTCTAAAAAACAGAATTCTTTCCTGAAGTGAGACCTGTATGGAAGCCCTTTTCAAATACTGGCTGAAGTGCATTAGCTCCAATTGACAACTGTGGGCATTTCAAGATCTGGATCCTCCTTCTTCATACTTTCACTGCTTGGCACCACTAAGTCCTTATCAACACTTCCTTGCAGATATGCTGGAGATTGAAACAGCACATTTTGTGTTGTAATATCATTTTTTTTTCCAGTTAAAAGCATAACGACTATTTTTATAATGGAAATTACAGAAAATAGGGTTGAAATATATCATCTTGGCTCATTGGAATATGTGTTTGAGAAAACCTTCAGTGCAGTACTTTTCAAGGAGTAAGAAAGGGCAACTATATCAGAGGATGCCCATTAGGATCTCCAGAAAGTCATGTCATTTTTATGTTAATAACAGGGGACTTTTAAACATTAGAAATATTGATGTAGAGTATAACTGTCTGGGATGGGGTGGTGGTGGGGAGGCTATGACAGAAATAGTGATAGTTTGGGACCATATTCTAAAGTCCTTGAACGCCAGATTGATGCAGGCGGGAGTATAAGTTTTGTCCTTCACAGCTCAAGGGGTTATCAATCACACATAGATACATGCACAACCTGAACAGCTTTGCATGATGGACTTTGCACTCAATTTGGATAACAGTACAGGGTCTTTGAATTGTTTTTAAGCCTGAGAATGGTATGACTGTAGTTGAACCTTAAGGGATTTAATCTTGCAGTGTTTTATAAAATGATTCAAATTCCAGAAATACGAATCTAGAATACAATAAACTTGGTGGTCTGTAACTTCGTGCGAAGGGAGATGACCAAGCAAACATGACTCTCAAACACCCTCTCAAGTGACCACAAGAGTCACTGTACCTGACAGAAGTAGAAAGGGAAGGTTTGTGGTTATCGGGACAAGGGAAGAGAATGAATTGATTCCCCTTGACCATTTCACATGCTAGGAATGATTTTGTCATACCAAATGGATTTGCTATCATTCTTCCAACAAGGCTTTATTTTCCTTTGTGTGTTTTTTTCTTCTCTTTCAGGCTGAAATCATTGATGTGAGTTATGGAAATGCAGATGATTTAAAAAGGATAAAAAATATGAGAAATATAACAAACCAGATTGCACTTCTGAAATTAGGAAAATTGCCACTACTTTATAAGGTTGGTCCAATGGTTATTTTTTGGTGGTGGGATGAATATATATATATTTTTTTGCTTTACTGCAGTTATATGCCTCTGTGAGTGTGAAGTGAGTGTGTTGCATGTGTGTGTGGGTGTGTGTGTGTGTGTGTAAGGGAGGCAGAGAGTGTCACAGCAAGATGGCTTTTCCAAAACAGAACATTTTAAATTAACATTTTTAAGAAAAAGAGGTTGTTATCCTTATAACTTAATACAGAAGATACTGTAAGCCAAGCATTAGTGAGTTTGTGAGACCTTGATAAAATTGGCATAAATTTCATAATGATACCTATCTGGAATACTAAAAATGAGAATAATGGTGTCCTCCTATTATGACATATGTGAAACTTTTAATCTATTGACAAAACTGACTAATTACTATATTCTTTATGTTAGACTAGTATCTGGCTGATTTATACTCCTTAGTGATTGGTTTTGTCAACTGTATAACTTCACAGTTACTGACTGTGCTAGGAATTTAATTGAACGGTAATATGCTTAGGAGAAGCAGATTCTTGATTTACTTATTTAAATAGAAGTTTATTAACACTTATCCATCAGATGCATTTACATAATTAAAGCAGTTTGATCTAAGTATCACATAATGAGCCACCATCATAGACAGCCACTATTGCTCATTTGTACTTAATTTTCTTTTACTATTAAAAATAATGGTCAGTATAGTTATATCACTGAAACTATCTGGTTCTGAAGATCTATTGGCTTTATCTTCATTCAACCCTAAATGAGCTGTGTTAATTGCCAGGTCTGAAAAAGTTTCAGAAATCTGTTGGCACACTCTGTAAGGAGACAAGAGAACATCCTGTGCCTGTTTTTTATTATTTTCCAAGGATGCCCTTACACCTAAATCAGTGTGTGATAATATATAACTGTCCAGAATTTTAAGATTGTCATGAAAATATAATATACACTGCTATGAATTTTTACAGGATACTTTGTCAGCATGTATTAAATGCTTTAAAATAATCACATTTTGATCCAGTAATTCCAGTTCAATCAATATATTCTAAAGGGGAATAAAACAGAGTTGATAAATACAATGATGACCAGTGATGTGACAGAATATCCAATTAAGTATTGAAATTTATGTTACATTTGTACAGCTGAATAGTGTACAATAATTACAATGCAAAGAAGAATAATGATGTGGAAATTCTCATAAATCAAACAAATAAGTTATAAAGAGGACATTTATAATAATAATAATAATAATATGTTATTCTTATTGTTAGTGTAATATTGTTAGTAATATGAGCTGCATATTATTCTAAGGACCTTTTATGTGTTATCACATTAATCTTCACAGTAACTCTATTTTTGAGATAGAATGGTAACTAAGGCAGAAAAAGAATAAGTGACTAGCTCAAAGGTGAACAGCTACTTACATGAATCAATAAAGATTTACATCCAGTCAGTGTCATTTCATATCCTGAATCTTTAATGTGTATGTATAGGTGTGTGTATGGTGTAGTTAGAGTAGACAGGTAAGTAGATATATGATGATATAGATAGATAGATAGATAGATAGATAGATAGATAGATAGATAGGCAGGCAGATAGATGATAGATAATGAAAGAAAGGAAGAAAGAAGAAAGAAAGGAAGAAAGAAGGAAGAAAGAAGAAAGAAGAAAGAAAGAAGAAAGAAGAAAGAAAGAAAGAAAGAAAGGAAGGAAGGAAGGAAGAAAGAAAGAAAGAAAGAAAGAAAGAAAGAAAGAAAGAGAAAGAAAGAAAGAAGGTGAAGATGCAAAATTGGAGTTTTTAACTGAGATTTTAATATATAAAAGAATAGATCTTTCAAAATGAGTTACCCAACACCAATATTTCAAACAAAACAGTTGAAAACATGTTAGACAATTATTAAACCCCTTACTTTTGTATGGGGTAGGAAAGGTTTGAAGACTTGGGGGAAAGCATTTTTTGAATAATAATTTTGGAGAAATATAAGTTCCACTGCAAACTTAGTGACTTGGGGCTTCCGTGGAACCACATGGAGGGTTTAATGAATATACTCTGCAGTATGAGAGGCATAGTAGACTGGTGTCTGCCTCACCTGAGAATCCTAAAGGTAAGAGATACGTTTGCTTAGCATCTAACAAATGGTGCATGTGTTGGGATTGGTCTGTGAGCCAGAGCTGAGAGCAGAAAATGCATGTTTGTTTCCCATGGTAACATTGTTAGTAATATGAGCTAGATATTTTGCTAAGTACTTTTTATGTATCATCACATTAATCCTTACAATAACAGTATTATTGATGTAGGGACTATGGTTATTTTTAATTTATAGATGAGTATCATTAGTCAGTGGTGAAGAAAATAAAACAGAGTTCACTCCTTCTCCAATAACAGACCTGATCTGGTGGAGGGGTAAGAAGATGAATTTCAAGAATAGAATTTTGATCATGGTATCAGAACTAGGCATTCTAATTAGTTACTTATGACAATTGGCTCAAATTAGACTTTTTATTACCAACTAGTGGCTCAGTGCATGAAAATTCGTGCACTTGCAGGGGTCCCTCAGCCCAGCCTGCATCCTCTCGCAGTCTGGGACCCCTCAGGGGCAGTCTGGGAGCCTTGCTCATTACCGCCCACCTGCTCGCTACTCCTTACTGCTCAGCTTGCTGCTCCCTAGTGCTGTCTTGTAGGCAGAAGAGGCTCCTGCCACCATCACTGCACTCACCATGCTTCTGGCTTCTAGTTGAGCGTCACTACCCCTGTGGAAGTGCACTGACCACCAGGAGGAAGCTCCAGCATTGAGCGTCTGCCTCCTGGTGGTCAGTGCACATCATAGCGACCAGTCATTCTGCCGTTTGGTCAATTTGCATATTACCCTTTTATTATATCGGGTAATCAGACGTTTTCCTCTAAGTGTTTAGGAAAGAATGTTCCTCTCTAGACATGGATTAAAAGGACTTAAAAGGATGCGGGAAACAAAGTAACACTGTCCTGAGTACATTCCATGAAGTTTGTTTAACCTACCAGAGATAATGGCTAATATGGTGTCAATGGGCAGGGGCCAATTATATAAATTGGGTCCATGAAAATATGAATAATTTCTACTGCTTTATATTTTCATGAAATTTTAAATGGTCAATAATAGTTTTGCATATACTATTTTGTAAAAAAAAAAATCTTCAAAAATTAAAGTAAACATAAGGCATTTAAAATTTTGTTCTAACAACACTTATGGGCTAAATAGTCAAAATTCTTACCAGTAGCTAATGGGTTAAGAAAAAAAAACAAATTTATTTTTATTTGTATTTGACTGATCCAGAGAATATTTTTTGAAAACCATGGCCATATCTATAAGGTAGTGAATTAGTGGTTTATCTAGACTAGGACACAGTTATTAAGAACCTGGTGTATTTTCCACGATTATCTTCGTTACAGGCCTATAAATAGATTTAACAAAGAGTTCTGTGCAGAATCCCCCCTCCAGACAGAGAGCCTTGTCACAAACTTGGCATTATTTTCTAGGCAGAGGAATCAAGGCATCCTTTCTTTAGCCTTCCATTCTGTTTTCTGTGGCTTCTCCCAGAGATTTGGAAGAATCACTGATATCATAGCTATTAATACATATTCACAAAGTAAAGAGAAATAAAGCATGGATTAGACAAGTTAGTTTATACAGCATGATTACAGCCAAGCTTACTTCACCTGTTCATCAAATATATTCTGGGACTGAAATTTGAAAGTGAGGGAGTTCAGTAACACAGTTAGTTGAAAAGGCAGAGGACGGATTGACTTCTATGTGAATCACAACTATGAATCATGATTCTAAATGAGCATCTGTACTGGGAACATGCAGCAAAATTAGTAAAGAGAACAGTTAATGTTATTTTAGCTGTACAGTAGTTTCTAAGTCATAGTTCAAAATTGAATTTGGTAGGGAATCTCTGAATCCCAGGCAAGAAGGGCAAAGGAGGAGCACAGTGGGATAGTAATGTCTCTCTGAAATAAGTAGAAAAATAGTCTACACCCAAGATGGAGGGGACCTCATTAGATCCCTTGTAACTACTGTGTACACGCTAACTTAGTCTCCAGGAAGGAGGTTCATGAGAAAGTCTCCACATTGTGTAGCAGGGACTGTGAAAGGCACATGGCTTTTAGATACATGCTGCAGAGAAGAGCCAAACCAAGTCTCCAGACCAGCTTGGACTAGTCCCCTTATGCTTAAACCTTAGAGGGAAGGCTTTATTTTAACTTTGTATTTATAGCAGTTTATTTTATGGGACGGTGCTTTAATTCTGTAAGCTTTAAGACAGAATATTCTCTTACATGTCATAATGGATTCAGGTAGGTTTCTCTCAGTGACAGTCTGAGACACAGTAAAACAGATTCTATAATCCTCATACATTCCCAAATTGCTGACTAGCACTCTAGTATGGGATTTATTTCATAAAATGCAATAAAAGCATTTGGCTTTCTTCTTAAAGCCATTTTCACATTCAAAAAAATCAATAATAACAAAAAATCACTGTGTACTCCATGACAGCTAGACATCAAGTAAATCCCAGTGAAATGTGAAGATTAGGCCATTGTCTGTGTCCACACTACTTATCAGTCCCCTATCTCATAGGAGTGGAATTTGTATGTATTGAAGTTATAGTGAATACATGTCTATGCCTTTGGGCATGGTGAAATTACAAAAATCCACAAATGCTACTGCCATTTTTATAAGTGAAATAACATAATCATCTTCCTAGTACTCACTGTTATATAGTAAGACATCAGTAAATATTAGCAGATTTTTGTATTTTCCTTAGATATATTTTATACTTATAACTTTAATGATCCAGGAACCCAAATATAGTTTTCTACTAATGAAATAGTTTTGCATACATTCATTAGATATTATTTATATTAAATATCTATTGCATATTATATGGGCAGTGTATAACTTACCTAACTACCACTTAAATCCATAGCATGCTTATATAGGTAGTCATTTTGAAAGAGCTTG